GCCGTGGGTCTCTCCCGGGGTTTTACGGCCCCGCGGCTGCCACTGGCCATGGCTGCTGCCCCGTTTCTGCTCTGTTTTGTCTCCATAGGCACGTGCACACACACAGATCCCTGCCAGCAGGCAGTAGCAAAATGCAGAGGCCCCAGGGGTGTAAGAAGCTGCCCTGACTGCTTTCCAGCATCTGATTTTTTCAGTTTCCTTTCTTTGTATTGGAAAGGCTGGGGAAGATGAGGGAGGAACGGAAAGGAGGATGTGCCCGAGTCCCTGGATAAGTTCTGTGCATCTGCCGGTCACGGCTCGGCGTACGGGCTGCGGCTGTAACTTAGCTGTACGTGGAGAGGATTTCATGAGAAAACAGAGCATTTACTGTGACCTGAATGTACTCACCTGCCAGATTTCATTTTCCTGAGCCTAACAGTGGAGACACTTAAGCTGTTCAGAGTTTTATCAACATTTCCTTAAATTATCAGGAATAAATGCATTTTTCCAACTTCGTTTATAGCTCTAGCTGAACTGTTGTTGCTGAAACTTATAAAAATTCAGCCTATGGAGAAGAAGGAAATGCGAGGTCCGTACTTATTTGATATCCCAGAGTTTGCATCCACTCTGCTGTAATGATGAAAAAAGCCTTCTGAGAGCAGCTGAATTCACTTTTTATTAGAAGTTTCTCTTGTGAGTAAGTGTCAAGAGAACAGCGTAAAGCCCAGCACACAGCAATATAGGACTTGACACACAGATAATAAATTCAGCATCATGCCTGACGTTGGGTCAGCAGGCTCCAACCCTGGCATCCTCTTCCTTAGTGATTAGCTAACTCTCTCGCTGCTCTAAGCTTGCAGTTATCTACTTATGTGTCATTTTACTAATTTCTCTGGCAACCTCCTCTGCTTTTCCAAGGATTTGCTGAACCCAATCTGGAAATGGTTTTTGATACCTAGGCAAGCATGTAGCTGTTTCCATGTGGGATTATTTTACTCAGCCTGGTGACCGTGGAGTCATCAAGATTGTTACTACTGTCACTGGCTGCTGTTGAACAACCTAATTAATTGCTTTACATGGAGATAATGATCATTTTTGGTGCAGTTTTGTGCAGACTTGAATTGATTGGTATGGAAGGGGGTTTTGTGCCTTCACGAAAGCCATCTATATTTGATGGAGTTGATCAGACAGGTTCTTTGCTCCAAGCAGCAGGCCTTGCAGACTAAGGTTATCCAGGTGGGCAGCCTCTTCACCTCTTCCAGCTCTGATGCTGCGAGTCTGCAGCAGACACAGGCTGTTAACTGTGATCTCACTTGTGGAGGGAATGAGTAAATTGCTGCTCTCCCCAACCAAAAGTGGAAGGAAAGGGAAGCAAGAGAGTGGACCCCCATCCAAATAAAGCCCTCCTACTTTTCCTAAAGGAAGGCTTTTTTTCCTGCCCTTCTCGGGAGCCCCGGTGGTCCGCATTGATCGGGTTGTCCTCCTGGCTCTTCATCATTCTCCCGAGTGTCACAGCATCCACTGAGGAAGGATCCCGAGCTGCCGTCGGCGCCGCTCTGCTTGATGCCTTTATCTCAGGAGTTTCACTACATTAGTCAAACTATTAGTGTGTACGCGCAGAAACAAAATCAGAAGTGAAAAGCTATAATTCTTGCATGTGCTTGAGCATATAATTTTTTGACTGTCTGTCATTGTGCACAAAATATGATGAAGCTGACTAACTTTGACTTTTATGTGCTAAAGGGTATGGATAAGCCTGAAAAAATATTGTTTTATCTCATTAGTTTTTGCTCCCAAATACCATGATTAACATATAATATTTGCCTAGTTTAAACTCTCCAGTCTGGAACAAGACAGGGCTGCCACTTATCATTGAAAGAAGGCAATATATGTTAGTTTTTGTTGGCTTTTTTCCTGCCATATCACAACTAGAATTTCAGTATATGATCCAACTTCCTTTATAACTCTAGCTGAACTATTGTTACTGGAACTTATAAAAAATACCTGTTTGGCACTGGTTCACACAAAGCAGTTTTCAAGGGCTAAAACAGTGAAATGTTGAAGAAATTGTAATTGCATCAAAAATAATATCCTTGATAAAGGAGAGAAGAAGAAAACAAATATTGCTTTTACTCAACATCTAAATGAGCTGGAAAGTTAAATGCCTGAAGATAATTGAAATTGTTGCTGCTGTCATGCAGGGAAGCTGCCATGGGCCCCAAGTACTTGACATCAGGAAAGGGGTCTGTACAGAGATGTTAATCGTGGTGGAGGGAAAGCCAGGATTTAAAATAGACCTAAACCTTAAACATAGTATAAATAAAGTCATTGCAGGTAACATGCTCTGAGTTAGTCCTGCGTGCTGAGAGCTGACCCAGGCTAGATGTGAAGCTATTAGCAAATTATTCAGTGGATTTTTAGGGCCCCAAAAACAGGGGAATGTGGAAAAGGAAAATTGTGCAAGCTATTAAATCAAATGCCTTGGTTTTGGTTCAGCTAATGAAATGCAGTCCTGTTCTGTGCGCATGCTCTAGCAGCGCGTCTCCTGGCGAGGCAGGAGCCAACACACAGAGCAGCTTCTCCATATTCATCAGCCTCTGCTCTGCAGCCTGTTGATGCTGCTGCACCTTCCCCGTGCCAGGGCCAGCCCCCCCTGCACTGCCCCGCGTTCCAGGCTCCCGAGGAACCCCCGGCACGGGAAGCGGCCCTGGAAGTGCTCCGGGATGGAGCGGGGAGTCCAACGGGTGCCCCGGCCGGCGAGGGATCGGGCAAGATCGCAAAGCGTTGATCCTTTCTGCTCACAGCCCTCGCGCGTCTGCCCCCACCTGGAAGTGCTCCGGGATGGAGCGGGGGAGCCCAACGGGTGCCCCGGCCAGCGAGGGATCGGGCAAGATCGCAAAGGGTTGATCCTTTCTGCTCACAACCCTCGCGCGTCTGCCCTGCGAGGCCTCCCGCGTTTCCCGTTCCGAAATGCGCTCCGTTGGTTTCGAGGCTCTGCTGATGGTCACCTGCAGGACGGTGCGGCTGTGGGCGCCAACAGGCTGTGGGTGCCAACAGGCTGGGTACAGGCAGTCCGGCTGTACGAGACGCTGTTGGTGGCTCCTACAGACAGGATCTCTGTGACCACAAGCCAACCCTGCGGATGCCCTTAGCCCCTCTTGCTCAGGTCCCGCCAGGCCAGGCCTACAGCTCTCTCTTCAAGGCACCGTTTTGTCATTGCATGACATGTCCAGTCATTTCCTTTTTCAGCAAGGACTACAGTGTCCAATTTAAAAGTTTAAATTCACTTGCTTTCCGCATCTAAACCAAAAAGGTAGTATTTACTTTTCGGTGGGAATCCCTGTGCTGGGAGCAATGAAAAACCCAGTGTGACACCTGGGGAACTTTATGACATTGAATTTGTGCCTGACGAATACCTTTTGTCACTATCATTTGTTGTCTGAAATATTGGCTCTGACACTTCTCAGGCATAATACAAGAAAACTGTCACCTAAGAGGCCCAGTGTAATAATCCTTAGAGGAAAGGCAGCAAGAAAGCTCTCCTGCCCGCTCCTGGTGTTCCTCACCAAGCAGCAGCACTGCAGGCCCCTACGAAGCTGCAGTTTTTAGCTGAGTCCTAATTTGCGTTACCAACATGCTAGTAGGTTCCTCATGTCTGCCAAATCAAGCAACTTAAATTATATGAATTTCTTCATATGATGATATGAATCAAATGATGGGAATTTCTTCTTGATTACATTTGTTTGGGCATATGTTATTCCTGGTCAAAATGAACTGCTAATTGAATACGTGCATAGTTTGTGCCTTAGTAGTCTTGCTAGTCTAGTGGATTGTGGATGGATTAAAATACATTTTTTTGTTATATGGCACTGGGAAACAGCAGTCTTTTAATGGAGGAAGCTGAGGGCTTCTTAAATGAGCTCAGCTCTAGAGACATCTGATCTGAACCCCAGCAATGCAGCATTAACTTCGTTCCTGCTGCACTTTCTTGTAAATATCTGTTTGCAGTTGCCTGGGTGAGAAGCTTCACTGCTTGTGTGTGTTAAAACTCAATACAAGTTTCTTTAAATTTATGTTCACTTTTTCATTACAAAAATCAGATGACATCCATAGTGTTGCAGAGTTAATTTGATTGTAACACATGGGACTTCTGTATCCTCTTCCATGTGTGAGCTCTATGTTTCACAAATCTTATAGATACCTTGCAAAAGGAGTAATTCGAGTTCTCTATGCTTCCAGCCTATGATATGAAGAGTAACTGGGTGCTTTTAAAATATGTATGAAGTTTCATGTTCCTGTTTAGATTTAATTTTTGTTCCATGTGGAAGAGCATAGTGGGGAGAGTAGAGTAGCCCGTCTAGAAGTTGTATGGAGAAGAAAATCCTGTAGAACTGCATGAATAGGGGTGGGTGGATTATGGTACCAAGTTCCACTTTGATCTTTTTTTTTGATTGAACAACTCTTTATTAATTTAGGTTTATATGTGTCCTTTAGTTCCTCTCTCAAGTCATAAATCATACCGTGTATTTCAGCAGTAGCGTCAAATCTCGGAAAACTCGGTGTTATATTTGAGCTATATGAGGATTTATTGATACAGCTTTTAAAGCAATTATCTTCTTCCAAAGTCAGTGGCTGTTCATTAACTCTGAAATGCATTTTTCCTCTTAAAGGTCAGCATAAAATCAAGTTCATCCCAGAAATGGTGGGGCCTATATTAGAAATGACGCTTATCCCCGAAACGGAGCTTCGCAAGGCTACAATCCCAATATTCTTTGATATGATGCAGTGTGAATTTCACTCGACTCGAAGCTTCCAGATGGTAAGCAGGCGGCTACAAATATTTGAAGTTTGTAAGAAAGATTAACTGTTCTGTGAAGACATGTAAAAATTCTTGATATTTCTTGTTTCGCTCAACCAAAATATAATTATGGGTTTGCTTATTTTCTGTAAGTCTGAGTGGCTATAGAGTTTTCATCTAAGGGTTTTAAATCCTTGTGGAGGCAAAAATTTGCATGAAGTAAATGAAACCTTTCTTTACGATACAAAAGGAGAGCAAAGGCAGATGTCTTAAATTTTCACTGTGACTCAGGAGAGGAGTCTGCGTCGGAGTGAAATTAGACTTAAAGAAATCCTGATGCTATAGCGAAAGAAACTATAACCTGTAAGGATTTATCACCTCTAGTGTCTTATAATTTTGATACTCTTTATATTTTTATGGATTTTGAAGAGGGAGAAAAAAGCTACCCAACCAGTAACCGTGTTTCTTCATGCTATACAAGCACTTTGAAATGTAAAGTACTAATGCAGCATTTTTATTCTATTTTATTTTTAAAAGCTAAAATAAAACCATGAATAAACATGCACAGTCTTATTCTGACAGCTCCAACTTTTGCGAGGCAAGAGTAGTGGAAGTTTCTCAACACTGTTCATTTTACTTTTTCCCTTGCAATTTTACCTTATGGATTGAGTTTAAGCATGTGCATTCACAGCAAGGTTCTCATAAGATTTTTCTTTTTTCCCTTCTTTCATTTGAGAAAATACAAGGATTAGCAGTGCTTTGGAGATAGATTGCACAAACTGTGAATCCTGTGCGTCAGGTAGTCTCGTGGTGTAAATCATGGTAGCAGCTCCACTGTGCTACGAAAATTACTGTCAGTCCAGGATATGACCCTGTGAATTCTACTATAAAGTTGGACGTGTCTTTGTTGCTTTTGTTCCTTTACAAAACTGGTGGTTTTGTTTCTTGTATGAGAAATCTTAACCTTTTCCATACTTCCTTGCAAACCATTATTCATAATCAGCTTGTAATAAATCTGTAGCCAGAATAAACGAATATCTGTGTGGGGTGATTAAACATGTAAAGCGGCATCAGCTTTATTACTTGGATTTGTTTTGTGCTGGGTGCTGTATGGAAAGGTTGTGACCTGTGTTTTGGCTCCATCCAATTACTGCCTAATCATTCTTTCTTATGTTTGACTCTGATGATACGGAGGAGATTGAGGTGCTCACTGGGCTGCCATTTAAACATTTCCCTGTCAGATACTCTCTTTTGTTACTTGCCATTTTTTATTTGCACAATTATATGGATCATGAAAAATCCCAGGGTAACTTTATAGCTAAATTTATGACCCTATATTTTCTTGACAGAAGAAAACCAGCTTTATGTGGAATAGTTGGGTGATTTTAATAAATGAATGTCTTAAAAGATTTTAAGACTAACTTTTTGTCTTTTGAGAAGAAAAATACCTTAAATCAGAGATGTCTTGGATTGCAGATAGTCAACATATATTCCGTATCTTACCATAACCTCTTTCTTTATGGAAATAACATTGATATGACAGGTAGAGAGGCAGTAAACCCTTGTCTGGGATATTTTGTATGCATCATTATGTCTAACAGAAAAAATCAATCTATCCATTTTTGCAGGTAATGTAGTTATGTAGCATGCTGGCGATTTTAAATCTTTGATGTGAGTGATGAGGATCATCGTTTGTAAACAGCAGAGAATCCCAGAATGATAGAAAGACTAGGTTGAATGGGAATTCTGGAAATCCCTGGATAATCCAGAGCCCTCTGACCCGAGTCTTATGTTATCCGTGTATTTTGTGCTCTGTCTTCTGAGTCCATTTCTTCTCAGCATGTCTACAAGTGTGTCAAGGTGTTTGAAACAATGTCATGGGAGACTGTTTCAAACACCTTGCCAAAATCCACAGGTCTTCCCTCACCCACTGAGCAAATTGTCTTATCACAGAAGGTAGACGCGTTGGTTAAAGATGATTTACCTTGGATAAATCCAGGCTGACTTTTCCCAGTCTCCTCCTGTTCCATAGTTTTCTCAGGAACCAGGAGGCTTCCTGTGGGGTTCTAACACCCCATCCGTGTGCAGTTTCCATAGGTGGTGGCCTCTTCATCCCTCACGTGCTGTCACTGGCGTGCCGTTTGCTTTGCCACTTGTCTTAGAGGCTTGGCCCATGACCTTCTCTGCAGACTGATGCAGGGAAGGCATCTAGTCCCACAGCCTCTTCTATGTCATTTGACCACAACTTGGTTGATTGCAGTGTTTGCTGTCTTCTAAGTAACAGAAACAGATGTAAAATGATCTTTTCAAGCATCCCCACTACTTAGGCAAGCTTTCATGCCCAACATGTCTGGGTAATGCTCTGCATTCTGTCATACATGGTGGTGCCACCACCAAGACGACTGTTCAGCTTTGCCCACAAAGAGAGGTTGGGAATTGGGTGGTTGGCTGCTGTTAAACCCATCTGCCACTAATCCAGTTACCCAACCTCATTCGTCACATCCACGAGGGTTTAACCTGGCTCCACTTCTCCAGCAGATGGGTAAGCATCATGATGTGTGGGGAAGGAGTTTAAATTTTTTTGCAGACCTTTAATGCTCTGATGGCCTGCGATGTGGACAGCTTTTTCCATCACTGTTTTAATTTCAGTTTGAATTGGTTTGCTTGGTAAAACCAGTAAGGGACAGAATATTTTTCTTTTTTTTTTTTCCTTCCAACATATGTAGCCCCAAGGAAAAAAAAAATAAAAAAATAAATTCCTGTTTTTTACTGAGCTGAATTAAAGATCTAGTGAATTAAAATCCGGAGTTGCCCAGTTTTGTCCTCTCCCACTTGAGGTGCTTTGAAGCCTTATATAGGCTTCAAAGTAGCCTGTACCTCAAAGCATGGATCTGATTCCAAAGTCTGTGTGGGACTGAAGCTTCATAGAAGAAAACACCTCCTTCTCTGCTCTGCTTTTTGCCTTTGCCTGTTTTACGAGCAAACCCTCTAGATCAAAGAGAATATGTCAGAGCTGCAGAAGTGATGAAAGAGAATTGGTTTGATTGTTCAAGGGCTGGTCAGGACGGTGGTGGATCCCACAGCGACGGCAGGAGAGAAACTCCATCGTGAGACGGTCATTCAGCTCAAATGTGGAATCCAGCCGTGAGCTCCCGTGTTTGTCTCCTATGCCGTCCATCTCTTGCTTCCTTTAGGTCCATTTCTTCTGAATCTTCTTGTCTGATTGCATACCCCAAACTTTTCTTTTCTCTGCTTTGCTCATTGCTCATTTGATTTTCTGCTTGTTTTGAGTTGAACCCCCCTCAGGGAGACATCCATGAGTACCAGAACTTGTCCAAAATAACCCATGGAGGAAGCAGGGAGGAGGAGGGAGAGGTACCTCACCTAGACAAGAGGGAAGTGCTGGCCACATCTTCCCTTTCTCATGATGTTGCACTGTAAGATTGCTTTTAATTGCTCTGGTAATTAGTAGAATTAGTAATTAGTAGCATTAGCTTATTTTAAGAGGCAAAATCTATTAACAAAATAAGATGAAGAATGAGGTGAGAAGGAATTCCCCTTCTTCCACTGTGTTATTACATTTCTTGTTGAATAATGTACCTGTAAAAAATGAAATCTGCGAGATGGAGCCCCCGTCCACTCTGTAGTAATGATCATGAAGAAGTGATCCCTGCATCAAGCTTGAGGGCTGCTCAGCACCGTTAGGGAGAATCACGTTTCCGTAGTGTCCAAGGGTGATAGCTTCAATGGTGTAAAAGGAATGGCCTGAGCAAAAGCCCTAAGAGCACCAAATCCAGCTGTTCCATTTTGCAGAATAACATTTAGCAGAGTAGAGCCATGGCCAAAAAGGCAGCAAAAATCATACCGGAATGTGTAAGAAATGAGTGCGTAATATATATGATTACTAAAATAAAACTGTGGATACAGCTAAAGTACCTCCAGCTAGTCGTCTGCTATGAAGAGAAGTAATTGAGTAAAGACCAGAAAAAATGAGAGGAGACAGTTTTAATTCAATTCTAACAGATAGCAATAAATCCGTGTGTCATTGAGGCAGTAATACCAGCATTTTTATTTGCAATATCATTTCTTGTTGGTTATCAATGAGTTTCAGATTAATATAATTCCCTTTAACAAGTAGGAGCTAATTTATCTGAGTATCTCTCAACTTTTACAACCTATAATTCATTATTAAATCTTCTTACCACTGCTGAGCCATGTCTTAGCATCCGTATCCCCGCATTATGGATTGGCAGGCAGAACAGAAGTTAATGACTTCTCCAAGGTTTTGTGAGGCTGCATATTCCCCTCTGTATTGAACATGCAAATTAAATTAATTTCAATAAATAAGCTTTTTAGGCTATTCACTAAGGCCGAAGCGTAAATGTTTAAGTATTTCTTGTTTTCTGGCCTTTTGCAGAATGTCTTTCTCCCTCAGCCCACCTGAAGCACAAGCAAGAAAGGTAGTGTAGGAAGGCCAGTGATCTCCAAGCTCATCTGATGCTAAATGGCCCCTTAATGTATTTGCTAGCTAGAAGGCTGCGAGGAAATAATAAATGGATCAGATGAAACTGTTGGGAATTAGCGCCAAGTTTCATAGCAACCTTTGAGCAGTTTTTAACAGTAACTGTGTACTATTTCTATATTGGAACTAATTTCTAGAGCTGTTATCTGGTACTTTATTTTATGGCAGATTCAGTATTGCCCCATATCTAACCATATTTATAGCAGATTGAAGGACTGAAAAGAGGAAACCATCTATAGGTATGATTAAATTCTCCATCAGTGTAGCCACTAGGCTACAAATGTAGCCTAAAGATACTGTGGGCAAACCTGAAACCAAAACAGACCAGCTGAGATGCCCCTTGATGAAGCTGGATAACCTGCATCAATTCGTAACTCCGTTTTCTCCAAGTGGGAGATCACAGCAGACAAGTGAGGTAATGGCTATGGTCTTTGCCAACGTTCAAGCAGTCACCTGAAGAGCAGCTGAGATCCTGATCAGCTGCGAGGAAGAGCTGATAATAATTTCCAACAATCATAGAATCATAGAACCATTAAGGTTGGCAGGGACCTCTCGAGGTCATCCAGTCCAACCCCCTGCACACGCAGGGTCACCTAGAGCACGTGGCACAGGACTGCGTCCAAGCGGGTTTGAAGATCTCCAGAGAAGGAGACTCCACAACCTCTCTGGGCAGCCTGTTCCAGTGCTCTGGCACCCTCACTGTCAAGAAATTTTTCCCTAAGTTTCTGTGGAACTTTTGGTGTTTCAGTTTGTGGCCATTACCTCTAGTTCTGTCGGTGGCCACCAGTGAAAAGAGACCAGCACCATCCTCCTCACTGCCTCCCTTGAGGTACTTACAGACACTGATTAGATCCCCTCTCAGTCTTCTCTTCTCCAGCTGAACAGGCCCAGCTCCCTCAGCCTCTCCTCACAGGGCAGATGTTCCAGGCCCCTGATCATCCTTGTAGCCCTGCGCTGGACTCTCTCCAGCAGCTCCACATCCCTCTTGTCCTGTGGGGCCCAGAACTGGACACAATACTCCAGATGTGGCCTCACCAGGGCTGAGCAGAGGGGCTGGATCCCCTCCCTCGACCTGTTGGAGATGCTCTTCATAATCTTCCTCTCATCTCATCACCCCTCAGGCTTTCGCTGCCAATGGAAGGATGTGCATCGAACGCGTAGGTTGTGCCAGATAATTTCCCAGCCTCCCGAAAGCAGCCTCAGCAAGGATCATTTGGTCTAACATAAGCCCCGAAAATTTGACTGTTCTTCAGTTCAGAGTAAATTTTGTATGATTCTTACAATAATTGCAAGCCCACTTGGGTGTTTTTACATCTGCTGTAAAAAGTAAAGGAAAAAAGTCTCCATAGAGAATGTATCGGTAGATGCTGGATGCAGTGTCTCAGTCACTGGGTTTTGTGGGCACTGTTTCTCCTCAAATCATGGGATACCACAGCTATATAGACCACAACATAAACGGATGCTAACTTCTGGGGAGAGCTCCGGAAGAAACCTTAACTATATTAAATAGTATTTAGTTATTTGGCTGATCCAGGCCATATCAGTTGCTTGATAACTAACAAGAGCGATCAAAGAGCAAAGCTGTTGGTAAAGGTCCTTTCTGCCTTGGTGGCAGAAATGCCACAACTCAAGCTCTGTTCGAGGGCGTTTAGAGAGATGGACTGAGAAAGGATCTATAGGAATTTGAGTCAAACTGATACCCAGAAGATGCTCAAGACCCAGTATGACAAATTTAATTGCTGCTCCTGGTATGAGCAATCGCTTTCTAAAAAACACATCACCCAAAGGGCTGATGCTGGCCGCGAGTGTCATTTTTCACAGTGGTGTCGAAAGACAATTTCTTTCTGTGTCTTATTAGAGAACAAGAGTTTTGTGGCTTCTTGCTTTCATTATTGTACTGCCTTAGTGTTTTACTTGACATAGCCTTGTACTATGGGAAACGTATTTCAGCTTGTGTTTGCTTCGTCGAGGGGGTGGATGCATTACTCTTCTTTTTCTCATTTTCCTGTCATTTCTTGAACAATGCGTTCATTGTGTTAAGAATCTTATTCCACTTCACTTTTCATTCATTTCTTCCCAAGGAAAGTACTGCAACGCTGGAGCAGGTTGCCCAGAGAGGCTGTGTCATCATCCATCCGTGGAGGTTTTTGACACTTGGCTAAAAGAAAGTCTCAGTTGGCCTGATATAGTGTGGCAATAATCTTGCTTTGGCCGGGAGTCTGGCCTAAATGATCTTGGAGGTCTTTTCCAGTTGGTGTTTCTGTGATTCACTGGTTCATGGTGGGTACAGAGAGTTATATTCAAAATTTCTAGAACTCCTGCTTTAATGTGATTGTGAGGGGGGTCATTTTTTAAAATCTGGCCAAGAAGAGCAGTCAAAATTGTTTTAAGATGCAATATCTGTTGTTGGCTTACTTAGTCGATTTTGTCGTTGTGCACACGGTATGATATATAGTTAAGGTTTCCTAGCTCTCTTTCTCTAAGTTGCTGTTTTCGGCAATGCCACTTTACCAAACTTCACCGAACTAGGCAATTTTGCAGACGGGATGTCTGTTTGCCTATTTGGTTGGCTCTTATATGGCATTTTGGAGGGCTACAAGAGTCATCTTGAGGCTGCAGTTTTGGTTGCCTTGCCAGTCTGCCCGTGGCCCAGTGGAAATTGGACCTCTTGGTTTCCAGGCTCGAGCTGGGGTTGCACGATGGCCACGTGGCACCGAGGAGGCATCACAGGGAAGAGCAAATTACCCTGAATTTGCAGTTGGCGCATGGCTTGTTGTCATTGAACTTGGGATTTTTTTGCTTGCTTGTTGAGGTAATTCTGACGGGCTTCAGGTGTTATAGAAAAATAAGTTTCCTACCATGTTGCCTTATGAAGGTAGGAAATGATGTGGCTCTTCCTGAGTGCTGGAGAGCTCACAGATACCTGGAGAGGGAGACAGAAAGCGATCTGCTTGGGGAGTTTGGCGTCGCTGATGTTCAGCCTGCTCAAACGTCAGGGATTGATCCTGGGATTTTCGTGGTGTCGGCACGGCCTAGGAGGGCATGAAGGTGCCAGAGGACATCGCAGGGCGCTGAAAAGGCAGTTCATGGCCACGGGTACCAGCTCACGGCCTGCTCCTCCTCGGGGATGTGCCCGTCCGTGGGCATCGCTGGGCCGGCGGGATCGTTATTGCCGGGGTCACAACGTGCCCTGCTCTGTCTGCTGCTTGGCTGCTCTCATTCTTGTCATTCCTCTCCTGATTTAGTCTTTCCTAATCCAAATATTTAAACACCATTTAGCAACATGTCCAATGATTTCTTCTCTGAAAGATCCTTGTAGGGCAGTAGATCACAGCAGATGAAAGTCTAATATCAGGGTCTGCAAACTCTTAAAGGCAATCAAGCTTTGAAACTTCTCACAGAGATGCCCAGCCAATCTCCAAACCGTTCAGGGCACAGTTAGGATGTGAAATGTTTGCCGTCTGATTATTTACGCTTGCTTTGTTTAATTATAGTTTGAAAATGAGATCATCACCAAACTGGATCACGAAGTGGAAGGAGGCAGAGGAGATGAGCAGTACAAAGTGTTATTCGACAAAATGTAAGTGTTGATCAGCAGCCGGATTTATGTCACCATAAAGTCAGGCGAGAGAGAGAGAGCAATTAGACTACAATGAACTTTGCAGCCCAGAAATAATTAAAATCTGTTAATGATGCACAATATTTAGAATTGCACCTGAGTCGAGCTCTTTTCCCTGTGTGTGATTAACAAGGCATGGGTAATTGTCTCCTAGTCTCCTGGAGCATTGCAGGAAGCACAAGTACCTTGCCAAAAGTGGGGAAACTTTCGTGAAACTTGTTGTCCGCTTGATGGAGCGGCTCTTGGACTACCGGACCATCATGCACGACGAGAACAAGGAGAACCGCATGAGCTGCACCGTCAACGTGCTGGTAGGTGACGAGAAAGACCACCCTGCATCTCACACCTCCCTTTTAGCTATGTCCAATTCTAAAACAAAGGGATATTTTACTCTTTTTAAGAAGCTGAGGTTTTCCTCCTCACAGGACACACATCGTGCTTTCCATGTGGAAGCAGTAATACAAAATGAACTCTCTCTGAACATCCAATTAAACGGTAAAAAAGAGGCACTTAGAATAAAATAGTTCTGCACTATTATACCCCAGCTCAGAAATCTCTCCTAATTTAAAAAAAAATACAGAAAAAAAAAGACCTCCACAAATAATTTAAAAAACAGACTATAGAAGTTTCAGGTGAGTGTGGTCTGGTTTGGTTGATACACAGTATTGATCACATTACTACAGTTCTCTTGGATGGGAACAGTTCTGAATTGGACTTATGTATTAGTGGCTACCCAGTGGCTATTGTTTAAATTTATCAGCAAAGAATATTCTCTGATACTAAATTTATTCACTGGTGTTAAATTTATTCAGTGAAGGATACATTTCTGTCTGTTCTGTTTCCTTAGCTGTAGTTTAACTTTTCAACACAAACTTTAAATTAGATTCAGAAATGCCTTCAATATCTTGCCAAATTTATCATATCCTGCGTTTGGAAAATTCCCAGTGTTAACTAGTTTATCTCAAGACCAGCAGCATTCAGACATGTCTTCAGGGCAGGTGGTGATGATGTGTGGCATACAAAACCAGATAAATAATATTTATTCTCCCTTTCTATTTCCAAAGAAAAATGTTAGCATCCAAGAGCAGATTGTGTGTTGCTCAAGTAAGGCTTTGGAGTTTTAAGTCCATAGTACAACAGTTACTTAAAAGTTATGGTTTTGTACGTTACCAAATTTCAATTGGAAGTGGTTAATGATGTGTGACTCCCAAACGCCAGCAGCAATTTCTAGCAACACTCTGCTTGCAAATTCTTAACCTTTGCAATGAAACATAAGCCCTAATATGCTACATCATCACAGCATTAGGTTTTGTAAGTTAAATAACTCGTGTTCTATCACTAGAGGCAAATTTCTTTTTGCAGTTTTGAGGTCGATGTTATGCAATTATGAATTTTTAATTTGGAGCATGTTCTGTATACATTTCTGACTGCAAAATCAAAGGCTTTGTAACAAAATGATTTTGTATTTCAGAATTTCTACAAAGAGATTGAGAGAGAAGAAATGTACATAAGGTTTGTAAACATGACCACTGACTTACTATAGTCTAATTGGAGAAAATTCTGTTTCTATTAAGTGATCATTTGGGGGCTGGTGGGGAAGAGGTAATGAAAACCCTACCTATTTTGGGGCTTATGTACCCCGAGTTCACCGAGAACCATGAGTAATAGAAATTAGACTCACGAGTTCGTTTTGTTGTTGTTTTGTTTTTGTATCCCTTTTCTAACTAATTTTATTCTGATGCCTTTATAAAGAAAATAAGTAAAACTAAGAAATAATTTTACGTTCTGGTGAGTTATAAAACATGTGACTGCTAGAGGGGAAAAAAAAAAGGACAATCAATATGATGACTGATACTAATTTTAAATTTAAAACTTTTAGGAGCCTTTCAAGTTCTATTTGTCATCTAAAGTAAAAATGGCAACACGTTGTCATGCTTTTTGGAAACCTCAGGGTACCTACTCCTCTATTTTTACTTTGGCTTAAAATTGACTAGACTGATGTGCTAAAGTGATGACGTTTGTGTTTTTACTGCGCTTTTTGATATCTAAATATTATTCATGAATTCCTTCTCAGATGCTTCTAAACTTTGGGGAAAGGAGAGAAAAAAAAAAAAAGAAAGAAAAAAGAAAAGAAACAATTGAAGAGAATCCCCAGCCAGAAGTGTGATAATACTGAAATTAAGGAGCAGGACCTGGTTCTGTCTCCAGATCTGAATAATTAAAAAATAGTACTTAAATAAAATCTGCTTTGAATTTGTTACTTTTTGCAAGTCATTTATAAGTATTGGGAAGAAATAAATAAATAATAATAATAATAGAAATATAAATGGTCTGACAAGTTTGTCTAAAATACCAAAGTAGGAGCTTTAAATAATCCCAGATATTTTAACTATTGGAGCATAGAATTTACTTTTTGTGATGACCCAAACAAACTATTTTGTTGCGTGTTAAGAGCCGCTGCTTGCGTTACTCGTAGGTATTTGTACAAACTCTGTGACCTGCACAAAGAATGTGACAACTACACAGAAGCTGCCTACACGCTGCTCCTGCACGCCAAGCTCCTCAAGGTGAGCGCTCGAACACGCCGCGAGGCCGGGGTCGCTGCCCCTCTGCTCGTGGGGCTGAGCAGCTCTCTGTGCTCTGCTTATTGCTGCCACGTCGCATGTTATTGCACGCTTAGAATGTGCTGAGGCAGAAGTCAGCCCGTGTCACTAGTGTATCAGAGCACGGGTTGCTGATCTTGATCTAAACTGAGCAGCAGTGCAATCAAGGAGAGACCGCAGGTTAAGTTACAACGCTAACTGTGATGCAAATTACTTTTAAATGGGACAATTATGTAATCCTGGAGCATCTAAGCATGTATTGCAGTAAACTCACCGTCCACTGATGGCTTTTGCAGAAGTGCCAGTGAGTTGGAGATGGCCCTTAGATGCTTTAGGGAGCTGTAAATTTACCTTGATTTGGATCATATACATGGTACAGCTGAATAAAGCTTTTAGCACTGTGTAGTGCAAACCAGCCACGTCTGATCCTGCAGGAATTTCACCAAAATCTTTTTGATATGTGCAGTTCTGTCAGCCACGCAGCGGGTTCACAGAATTGGGCTGGCCACATGCCCTGCACCAAGGAGGGTTTCAGCAGTGCTTTCAGCAGACGTTTTGTCTTGAAATCTCATCTTCAAGATAGCGACATTGCTGCTGAGTTTGTAGCAGCAAGTTTACGGCCAGGCTTTAAAAAGGCAGTTGAAGGAAAAATAGAAATCTGAATTTTGTGAGGATTGGTGTTTTCTGAAGCATTTGCCGAGGCCCCCTGCTCGAAGGAGGGCAGGGACCCACAGAGAATCCCCAAGAGCCGCGTCTTCCCCTTCGGCTGCGTCGATGCCAGCGGCACCTGCGTTCCCGGCCGGGCGCCCTGTCGTGGAGACTTTGCTGTCGGTGCCTCCTCTCTTCAAGGGAATTTATTCCATTCTGTGCAGCAAAAGTGATTCTTTGCAAGCTTTGATTTATTCTGAGCAATCTCAGGAGAAACATTAGCATTAAAAAATCTATTTTGAAAAGTTGCAGTTGGAAGGAGCAGAATGAAATACTTGTAAAGGATGCACTGAGAATTATTTTACTCCAGCGCTGCGTAAACTGCATTCAAAATGTAGTAAGACTAAATATGAGGCAAATCCTAACTTTATTGTTTAAACTGAGATACTTTGAGAATTGTTTGATCTGTTTTAATAATGATTCAGGATTGCAGCACAAAGGGAATATCAGCGAGATTCGTCTGGCCGTAAAAGCACCATAGCAATGTTAGTGTTAGTATAATGTCACTAAGAGCAGGGCAGGTGGGTGTTACGTGTTTGGGCACGGGCTGTTCCGTGCCCGGAGGCATCGCGTTGAGCTCCGGGCTGAGGAGGTGGCTCCGACACCTCCAGCGGCCGGGAAGGGGCCCGGGAGCTGTGGGAAGGAGCTGGGATGAGCAACTGGATCATCCTGTGAGCAGGGGGATGGCTGCTCTAACACGAGGGACGTAGAGCAGGGCTGCCAAACTGCATGGTCCTTCCTTCTCACACCCTGCTTGAGGGAGGCTTTGAGACAAGGCACGAAGCCTTCCCTTCTCCAGGTGCTCCAAGATGAGGGAATGAACAGTGCCAGAAAATGTCATTCTGGCTTCTACCCGTTATGCCCCTGGTCCTTTAATCGATATGCTTTATATGACCTTAAATTAGAGCTTATCTAGTGTTGCTTTCTTACAGTGTGTCTTCAGACACTGGATGAGTACCTTTATTTACTCCTTTTATTTACTGGAAATAAATATCCTAAATAAATCCAGTTTTCTGCTCCCATAATGCAAATCAATAGAAGATGGGAAACATGAGGGTAGTATTTATCCTGGCTTCTCAAAACGCAGGAGAGGATCATGAGTTTATTTGTAAATAAATATATGTTATCATTGGGAAATACTTTATGATAACTGGCTATTGATCTATCTAAAGTAATATCCTGTCAGTGCCACGAGTTAGCAGCAGACAGGGGAGCTCAGTTTTGCTTCCAAAATAGCAGCAGGAAACCTGGGGCTCCAGGATGGCCGTGTGTGCAGCCTGAAGCCATGGAGCATCCCTGGATTCTTCCATCCTAGCTGGAGGAGAGGTTTTTCAGTGACACACGGCACAGCCATGTGTTTCCTCACATGGATTTTAATGGGATCCTGTTTAGGTCAAGACTTAGGGCTTTTGAGAAATTCACCTTTAGTCTGCAGGAAGGCTCTGCGTGGGGAGGGGGCCAGCATGGATTTACCTGGAGTTACTGCAAGCCGATGGGTCTCATGAGAGCAGAGATTTTAATTTTGTTTTTAACCAAGTTATTCAAGATTAAGATGCTGAGAACTAGCGCAGGACATTGACACTGGAAAAAGAAAAAGGTCACTGCAGTGTAGGGTCCCACGGTGTCTGAATTGCTCAGAAAGGTGGCTTTGCTGGAGAAAAGAAAGGTCTATTTTCACAAAAGCAGTGGAGTTTTCCAAACTTTGCAAGAGCTACTTGTGTTCAAGTTGCAGCACGCAGAAGTTTCTTGCAGAAACCAGGCTAGATTGTGGGGAAGCAACTTCCCCTGAAACGTGGCCTGTTGGAACACGGCAGCCTCCGAGGCTGCTCTCGTGGTCAAACCCTCTGGCAAGCTGGAAAAGGGGCAGCGCCCGGGTACAGGAGGCTTTGGGATTTCAGGGGCTCTTTTCCCTGGCTCCCGAGATGCCGGGGAGCTTCGCTCCTTCCTGGCTGGATCTGCAGCCTTTTCCACCCATATTGATGCAGTTTCAGGATTTCTCCCAGCAAAACCCTGCCCATCAGCGGCGCAAGGTCACGGGGAGGAGAGGCAGCCACTTCAGAAAGTTTCCTTTGAGCTCGTAGAGGTAATTAGCCTCTAATTACCGCATTCAAATAGATGATCCTTGTGCCCAAGGAATCGAATGACACAACTGCAGCAGAGGCTTGGTTATTGCATTAGTTGTGGTATCACTGTTTAAAATCAAAACGTGTATTTTAATTAGGCTAATTTCACTGCCACATTTCAGCACTTTTGATTTGCTTTCATTTTTCCCTTCTTTCTTCCTATGCTTAGTGGTCGGAGGAAGCCTGTGCAGCGCACCTCACCCAGCGGGATGGATACCAGGCAGCTACTCAAGGACAGCTGAAAGATCAGCTCTATCAAGAAATTATCCATTACTTTGACAAGGGCAAGGTAAAAAGGGGAAAAAAATAAAACAGATGTGTTTCATTGCTTTTTTCTTTGTCTTTCTCAAACAGTAAACACAGCCTGCATCCAGTCACCTTCAGGGAGCTTTAAACTTCTTCTGAGTTATGACTTGGAGTGTTTAATTTAAACAGTCTGCCCGCCAGCACTTAGGGATAATAATAACAAAAAAGTAGTAGCAAAAAGAGGAATCAGTGGTACATTTATAAGTGTTGTGTTAAGGATAAATATATGTGCATACGGTGCTGCACAGAGGGGGAAAAATAAGTAGTGATGCCTCCCATTTTGGGGTATTTTCTTCGGCGGGTGCTGTTATATCCAGCTGGTGCTTCAGCCTCGCGTGTCCTTGTGAGCACAGAGTGGTTCCCTGGGAGGACGGGTGTCTGCGTGGTTCATACAGAAGGAAAGGGCCAGGAGGGAATGATCGGATGAGACTGGGTCTTTGCAATCGCTTCCTTTTTGCAGGACGAGCTTGGATTTGACGTTGCGGTGGGAAGCGGTGGGTGTTGGTGTTACCCATCCCCAGCGATGAGGATTGGAAATGCAGTAGACTCAGAATTAGAGACGTATCAGTGTTTGGACATTTTGTGCACAAAATGTCTAAATAGGTGGAAATCTCTGCACCAAAATACTTCAGAAACATAAAGGCAGGTTTTTAAAAGCAATTTTCATGACATCATTCAACCTAGTGCAAGTGAAAATGTCATTTTCTGGCAGAACCTGAATGTTTTCCCACCACCTCTTATTACCAAGTGAGATTTTAGCTAAGCCATAGTAGTATTTTGATAGAATCTTTGTGTAAAAGGTCAAGTCCTATATGCTGTGTTTGGAAATGGTTATTCTGTGGTGCTAACAAGTTTTAATTCGAGATTGCCATAGAGTTGGGCTGCTCAAACAGGACAAGTGTGACTGTCCCCCGTGACCATCTGCGCTGGGAGTCTTTGTGGACATACATGGAATATTGGTTATTTCCATGGAATACTGGTTATTTCCATGGCACATTTCCACTTCCCATAAAATTTTTACTACCCCTTTAACAGCTGTTAAGAAGTAACCTAATTATAATTTGGATCATATTTGATTTAAGAGTAGATTGATTTTAGTATTACACTCTGCTCTTGAAAGGAGAGGCCAGAAGCTGCATATCTTTATGTTGTTGTTTTACATTTTGATAGGTTTGCAGTTCCTTCTTTACGGTGCTGGCGCACAGTCGATGGGAATTGCACTTCGGAATGCCAGGCCGCCGCGTTCGAGCTGTAAATTAAAAGCTGTGCTTCCCTTTCATCTGTGCTGAACACAACCCCTCTTAAGGCTGTACGTGCCCATTTCTGCTGGGGCACTAATGAGCTGTTTATATAAACAGGAGGCGAAATCCCTGCTGCTTCCTTTGCATCGGGTGCCGCATTTCCCAGCAAGGCCTCCCTGCTCCGGCGGTGAAAAGGGAAAGAAAACCAATATACGCTGAGAATATGAATATCTTCCCTGCATTTTCAAGAGTCAGGACGTTCAAAGGAAATTCTCGCTTTATTAAAATTAAGACATTTTTCTCAGAGAGTTAAGATCCTCCTCTCATTCGGGATGTGCTTGCAGGAGGCTGGGTCAACTTGTCACATTCACCAACGTGGTTTGCAGATTTAGTGCAGCAGTTGCTTAAGCTGCAGCACTCCATGAGCAGCAAGGCCTGGGAAGGGGCGTTTGCTGCCGTGTTGGGAATGCTGCTCCCGAAGCCGCGGGAGCTGCTGGAAGAGGAGCAGAGAGCAACTGCCAGGCTTTTCCAGAGGCTCCGTGATTTGCGGGAAGATCCTGTTCACTGCACACAGGAATATCCCTCTTCTTGAGCAGAACACCTGAGCAGTCCCGAACAGAAGCAGCATGAGCAGGGGCTTCCACTGAATATCCTTTTGCCTGGGAACAGGATACTTTGCCGTGAATATCCTCCTTTTGGAGCTTGAGGAGCCTTTAGTTTTCCTCCTTCTGCTCTCTGTTTTTAATAGCTTTTTTTTTTTTTTTTAGCAGTCTTGAGTTTTGGCTTATGTTTGACCTTCAGTGCTGCAAACAGTATTTTCTAAAGCTGAAGCTCATCCTAGCCTTTATTAAATTACCACTTGCAGATACAACTTCTGTGTTTTGCCTTCCTACTTTATGGATTCGATTCCCTTTTCAGTAATTCTTTCCATTACCCTTCCAAGCTCCTCCTTTCCACACCACCTTGTTTTTCCTGATGACTTTCCCTCATGCTTGCAGCCTTTTCCCTCTCCCCCAGATCGTTTCCCTTCCTCGTGTTGCACTTTTCAGTCTCGTCTTCATCTCCCTGGGCTTTTGCCCTTAAAAGCTTTATCTTCACATTTATCACTGCAGTCTAACCTATCCTTTGAAGTGTTTGCTCTTCCAATGTTTTGCTGAAGCCTCATAATTTCCAATAAAGCGCTTAATCCAAGGACTTTGCTGAAAATTGCCAGGCTTGAGCATATCATGATGAGAAGAAAAAATAGTGGCAGTAATAAAGGAAGGGGGGTGAATTGCCTTCAAAAGTCTTTTGCAGTTCACAGGATATGGCAAGAAATGCTCTTTTTTCCAGCTAACAGGATGCAGGAGAAATTCTCCTGTTTGCAAAGGGTTGGCACGAGGCTGATGTGCAGCCTATGGCCCTGCTCAGATCCCCTTCCAGTGACTGTGGCAGCTTGTTCCAAAGGGATCCAACCATCTTGCACCTCTTAAACACAGCGCTAACAACAGTGAAACGTGATGTTCTAGTGTTTCATTAAGGATATTAACCTTTCCTAATGGTTATCTAGTATTATTTGAAGTTTAGGCAGTGTTTGTAATTCCCCTAATACTTCAAAATGTTTCATGATAATATTCTTATCCTTGAATATTTCTTTTTTATTGGCCATTAACTCAGCAGGAGCTAAAAACTACCCTAAGATCCTCGATTCCTGCTAAAGAACTCAAAAATGAAGTGGGGCGCTGCAGTTCTTTCTTGACAATGAGCAAGAACTTCAATAATAAATTAAATTGTGATTTTTTTTCCCCTGAAAAGATCCCCCTCAGCATTCTCAATCTTCCCCATAAAAATTAGCAGCCTGTGTCCACTCAACAAAATTCAGGTTACGCACATTTTTTTTCCAGTGCTTTCAGCATAAAAGAAGCGTTTTTCTTCCAATATCACAAACTTTTGCTTGTACCCTCTCCAGGTAGGTTGTCTCTTGCATTAAGGAGCTGTGCAGCACAGAAATCCTGTGCTGCAGCTCCCTGCATGGCCCGCTCCTCCAGACCACCTGCCATGTCCTGGGAAAAGCTGGGAAAAGATCCAGTGCGGGAAACCTGTGCGGCAGCAGGTGGGGAGTTCCTGACCTTCAGGAATCCAGGTGTCATGACGAGAATCCTTTGCCATGAGCGTGTTGTCCTCACCTGGATAAACTGCTCGGTAGCAAATACAGAAATTTTGCAGAGGATCGTCCAGGGCATCTTAAACCAGGGCAGGAGGTTTCAAGGAGCAGCAGCAAAATGGAGTGGGTCCTTTGGTCACATTCTTTGACTGGAACAAGTTTAGGCAGGGGCAGATGTGCAGGACTTATCCCATAGTTGTGCAATTATGTCACCTATTTGTAGCAGAGAAAGGTTTTTATCTCTGATTTATGCCTGCGTTTCATTTAAAAATGATGCAACAGCATATCACTGGTCTAACTTGTAAGCTAACTTTTGGAGAATTCTGTTAAAAGTAATTTCAGTAATTTAAGTCAGAAACAAATCCTGTTTGTAGAATCTTTTTTTTTTTTCTATTTAGTTCCTATTTTTTCCTATTCAGTTACAGATAAGGAAGGGTTATTAAATGGAAGAATACTAGGGCTGTGCAACTACTGAGTGTGTATTTGAGATGAACTAAATCTATATCCATATTTAATTTCTGCTTACACTTTTTAGGCTCTCTCGTCTGTAACCCTTGCAAAAATCAATATTAATATTTATATTCAGCAACATCTAAAGCTTCTGCTCAACATGGGGGAGGCTCCTTCTGCTCAGCTGTTCAGACCACATGCTCAAGTGTTTACAGTCTTGTCCAGCAGGGATAAAAAAAGCACAAAAAGAGACATAGTTCTGTCAAAGTCGTAATTTAGTCAGTGGGCCTGAATATTTGTCATCTTCAGCATCACTGCCCTAAGGAGCCTCACAGAGACAGAGAGCAGAAACACGTCAGCTCTGGAGAGGGACGAGTTAAATTTGGAGCATGCAAAGTGAAAACGGGTGCAATGAAAATTACGGCAGCGCCGTTTGCTTTGAAATGAAAATGTGCAGAAGAAGTTATGGATGACTGAAGTTAAAAGGAGGCGGCATTCAAAGTGGAGAAAGGTTAAATGATTTTTAAAAGGGTTCACTTGCTGGCTTATCAAACAACTGTGAATATTCGTTTACTTTCTATAAAGTGGCAGGATATTGCTCCTTTGAACCAAAATTAACCTAGCCTAAAATGTAAGAATATGCTTATTTTCTCCCCTAAATATTCCTAAATATTGCTCTTAAAGTCATGTTAATTTTTGTTTAGAGATAAAGGTATGTTTCAGTATTGTGATTCTGGATTGGGCATGTAATATGGGTGAAAACTTGGCAAACTTTCCATTTTCCAAAAGTTGTGTTCCCAAGTGCAAAAGCTGCCCTGGGACCGTGGGCAGGTGGGGTTCCTTGTAGCTCGGTGTTCTGGTGCCTTTTTGAATCTTCAAAGCTCTTCACAAACGGTAGGAAACTCCTACTCCTTCATGTCCTCTTCCCCAGCAAAATAATGTCATGAACCTGGCTGTAGAAATGAGAAAAATCAGAAAAAAAGGTAGCAGATGCAGCACTTCCTGGGTCCCCAGCATGGGCAATGTGTGTCATGATACCAAGAAGAATGTTAGATGCTGTGGACAGGTTATTTAAATTTAAGATGAAGAGTAATTATGAAGGACACTGGTTTCCAACTCATTCCAGCTGGGACACTTTCTTTTCCCAAGTGAGGTCAGCAGTGCCAGCTGGATATCAACAGCAGAGACAGACCATCAAGTTTGGCCTTGGATCTATCTCCTCATGTGCTAATTTGGGCACCTCTTTGGTTTGGAGTGGTGGCTTTATACTCAAAGCAGAAAAAAAAAGGAAAATACTCTTGTTTGAACATTCTCTCTGCTCCTCATTAAGACTGTTGGCTTCTGAAGAGCTGATGGATATTGTTAAATTACTTGGGGTCAGTTGAGGCGGCTGCTGCATTTCATGGTTGAAGAACAAGAGAAGAAGAAGAGCCAGTGAATATTTGTTGAAAGCAGTAGCTGCAAATTGCCTGTCCTGCCTAATATCCATTGTAGATATTAGAGCAAGAAGGGTGATTATACACCACAATAACCAACATTTATCTGAAGTCCCAGGCTCTGGGTTTCTTGGTGGGCAGGTTGTGTTTACACAGCTAGTTGGGCTGGCCAGAGTCATCTTTATTCTGAAATATCTCAATCATTTTACTTGATTTGTGGTCAAGAGAAACATGTGTGGGTAAAGCTCCTGCAACCACTTGGCACATCTTATACACAGCGTTTTCAGGCATGTGACACAATACACTTTACTGTGTTATATTAAGATGGATTTTATTCTGATTTTGTTATTTAACTAAGGTATATAATTGAAGATTTTATTTTCTTTCTTTTTGCATGCTTTTTTTTCCAACAGATGTGGGAAGAGGCCATTGCTTTGGGTAAAGAACTTGCAGAACAGTATGAAAATGAAATGTTTGATTATGAACAACTCAGTGAACTACTGGTAGGTTTTTGAAAATGACTTAGGCACTGTAACAGTTTTTTTCAGATCTTAATTTTTAAGCTTTTAGATTAATACTGAAAAAAAGTTCTTAATAAAATGCAAAAGTAGATGGTTAGTTTGGCTTTTTCAGACAAATGCTGATTAATTGACTATCACGGAAGTGTCTGAAAAGGTTATATTTATGTGTATGCTTTTAACCAGGACAAAAGTTCTGCAGTCACTTTAAGCTGATTTTTTGGGATGTAAAAGGAAATCTAGAATTTCAATACAAATGGGAACATGAAAAGTCCTTCTTCTCTTTCAAGAGTATTTTCACATTCGCGTTTCTCTTTTTAGGTATGAGTAATGCCCAAGTCCCAAGTCCCAATGCCCAAGTATTATTTTTGTCCTGATGTTACCTGTTCGTTTTGTCTGTGCCCTTTTTTCACATCAAAGAGTTAAACGGCAGCCAGCACTTTCACTCCAAACTTCTCAACCAAATTCTCATAGTTGGTTTGCAGTTTATTTCAGAAAATCTTTGGCTTCCAAATTTTTGATAATTTTATTCTCATTTTTTGCCCTTTGCCGCTCACTATAGTAGCTGCTCCTTAGCTTTTTAGTTATTTCTCTACTTTATCCTGCTCTGTTTGAGCAGGACACCAGCATGGTGTCATTGCACCCTGTTTGTCCACCGATGGCCTCGGGGCCATCTCTGCAAAAGCATTTTTTTGAAGAAAAGAGGGGAATAGCACCCTTCCCAATGTTATGGCTTCTTTATCTTTTTGCATGCCATGTTCTTTTGTTATATCCCTTCTTCATGGTCCTCTTCATGGCATTTTAACTATTTGGGGTTTTTTTTTTTGGCTGTATTTGTTTGCCTAGCCAATAGGTCTGGTTTCATGTTGCCTTTTGCCCCAGGAGTTGAGATGTACAAATAGAGCATTTTGTAGGTGCTCTGCTATGCAAGAAGAGCCTTGCTGGTCTGCTATCCACAGAGCCCAGGATGTTGCCATCACTGTCAAATATGACTTTTATACTAAAAGTTCTTCGTCAGCTAGAAATTATTATCTCATGTCAGATATACTCATACACCACAGACAGTTGATTTTTGAGTCCCTTCTTGTTAATTTTCCATCATCTTTCTGCTTGCAAATGGGAATATGAGAAGCTCTTGTCACTGAGGCTACTGCTCTTCATCATATCGAGCCATTCTTCAGAGCCAAAGCTTGAATTTGCACTTCATACATCATAGAGGATGGCCATAAACATTGAATTATGGATTTTTTTTCCTTTTCTCTCATGCACTAAATATGCTATTATTTCCATTAAGTGAAGTAATTTCAGAGCCCGCAGTGGTGTGTATGCCCAAGGTAGCAAACTTGCCCGTGTAAGGCAGCTCACCCATTTTAATCTGGGAAATGTAGGACTCTCAGCTCTCATACTTGTTGAAACCCAAGTTTACCTGTTTATTTAGCAGAAGAGTTTCTGGTTCTCCCTATTGTCTGTTTTGTTCCAGACATATTAAATATTAGACAATTCACAAAAGACAGAATAGTTTTTGCTACAGGTGAACTGAGATACCTGTCATATGGGAACAGTAATAAAGCTGCCCCAAAATTGGAGTTCCTTCTCCCATGGAACATAATAGGCTCAATATAAGTTAACAAACAGGTCGTTTAAGGCTGTATGTTTGTTATTATTCCATCACTGGAGATAAAGGATTCCACTGTGAAAACAGATGGTATCTGATGTGTCTATTTATTCCAAAAGTTACATTTTTCTGCCATTTCCAACTGCATGCTTTCCATATACAAATAAGTAGTTATAAATATGGAATGGAAACACTAGAAAAATATAACGAAATGCAACAGCTGCAAACAGGGAAGTCAGTACCATGGAGATGAGCAACATTATTTAGCAATAAGCAGTTGACAGCATTTTTGCTCCTAAACCTCTGAGTGCCCTGGGTGTCGCATGGGCAGGGGACACAGTGCTGGGGACATCAGCACTGTCACCCCTGGGAGTTGAAGCTGCAATTTCTGCAACTTCCTCAACAGGATTAAATCCTGAGCTTCCCCAAGATGAGCATGGAAAGCATAGATATGGAATCTAGTATTGCAAAATATCAGTTTATATCTGTTAGAAAAGTGAACAAAAAGGGGCAAGTAGGGGGCAACTGTTACTTGAATTTCAGCTCTATCTTAGGTGTAGGATCTGCTCTGAAGCTTGGCTCATTTAATATGTTTCTTCTATTTATTTTTCAGAGAAAGCAAGCCCAGTTCTATGAAAACATTGTGAAAGTGATAAGACCTAAACCAGATTATTTTGCTGTTGGATACTATGGCCAGGGATTTCCTACATTCATAAGGGTGAGTGTTGGCCTTTTCCCACAGATGATAGCCAGGCCTCTTGCTTTGGAAATATACTCCATAGAGAGCAATGACCAATACTGGTATGTTATTTCCATCTATCTAACATTCTTTTGCCAACAGTGGTTGTATTTTAGCTCTATAAAGCGGACATTAGTCTGTTTGATTGAAATTAGACTTTCTGAAGAGAAGCATTTTCTTCAAACATACCCACTAGCAAGGAAGATGTTGCCAGGCTGTAGAACAGGGTAATGACCAGCAGCATGAGAAATGGTGACGTTTCTGCCTGACAGGTGGATGTGTATTTCTGTATCTGATCATGTTTTCATTTTCCAGCACCCACTACAAAATGGGAATTAAACATCACAGCTGCTGCTTTTCTCTACATGCTATTGGCAAGATTTTTTGCATGTTAACCGCTTAAAGTTGTTGTCACAACCCAGAAACATGCACATTATCTTTAAATTGAGTCTTTTACTGTAAATATTCATGAGTCGTGCATCTATTTGCAACACAGGTCACTTAGTTGGTGACAGTAATCAACTGTTTTAGATTTCTTCCACTATTGCTAGGACTGCTATGGAGTTGAGCTAGTGACTTAAACATCTAAATTCCATCTGTATCATGAGTCTTGGGACTATCTATCTCCCCTATTTGGTAGCCTGTGACACGGAAATAATGCATAGCTATTTAGCTACTCTGCTGCTCATATCTACCTTAAAAGCTGAGGATTTTCAGTTTAGGAAGAATCTCTCTCTAAACCCCCGTGGAAGAGTTCCAGTAGATTAAGGCAGTTCAGGAGACAGAAGAATAAAATTACTTTTGCTCCAGAAGACGCGGAGATTCAGTCTCAGGGGCTGCTAGAGGGTTTCCTCCTGGAAATACTTGTTTAAGAGATGAGTTCCTGAATATAAATGAATAATTCCATTTTAACACTCGCATATTATGCCTTAATAAATACCAAGGGTAAGCCCAGGCAAATGCTAAAGTCTGTCTGAAGGGATAAATCCAGTGCTGATCAGTTCTGATTAAGCTGGTTTTATCACTTTTTACCACTTGTGGTCAGCTAGTTCCTTTAGGTGTTTTATGATGTATTAAAAGTGTGAAAAGTAATAGAAAAAAAAAGATAGAATGATTTCAGAAGAGAGTTGTGTAGAGTGATCCTTCTGCATGGAGATTTTATGATCAGATATTCTCACAGAAACTGAAAATGTTTTCAGAAAAGAAGGAAAAGGCTTGCAAAAAAATCCCAGGAAATTAAATATTTACTGCAAATGCTCTGGAGTTCATTTGTAAAAAGTCGGCTGCTGTTCAAATAAATGCTTGGGACATGAGAGAGGGTTTCTTTTCCCCAGCCTCAAAAGGGAGGAACCCAGTGGAGGGCACATGGAGTGGGAGCAGAACTGAAAAGCACCCCCTGTGCCTTGGTCTGTGGTCTGCTTGGATTTAATCTAATCCAGATTGTGGATGGTGTTCACAAGAGTTTATGGACTGAGTCCCCATTCTGTATATTTGTAGAGCAGCTTCTACAATTTGTGCTAAAAAGTTACAGGGAGCAGAGGGAGATGGGTGAATGGATCCAGAGGTTAATGCTGACTTGGAAAATCCAACAAGGTCAGCAAAGGGTGCAGCCCAAGCATTTATTTTGTGAGCACGGCTGGAGGGCATGCAGTCCAGCAGTGGAGAAAATTTCTGTGTAATCCCATCAGAAACAGTGAAGTGTCATCCAAAATCTTGGTCAAAATGGGAGCAGGGAGGAAATACAGAGGTAAAACTAGGTACTGGAGTCTTTCGTGTCGTGTGTGAGCCCTTTTCCACAAACTAGCCAAAATCATGTGGAAGAAGTTCTTCAACGAGGCAGACGCTTGTGGCTTTGCACGTGTCGTGCGGCGCTGCATTGCAGGTATCCTCATGCTGTTTATACACCCCATAAACACAGCGAGCCCTCGGGTTTCCTGAGCTGAAAGGAATAAAACTGCCCCGCGACCATTTCTGGGACCAAAAAGGCGGATGCTGCAGAGACGCCGACACGGAAAGCTGAGGATTGCTGTCACGTTTGGAGCACGTGTCAAGCACTGCACATGAAACGCTCTTTTGGCAGGCATCGAACTTGTGCTGTGTTCAGTAAGAAAAAAATAAGAATTCTTTAAAATCTTACTAGACTCTTGGACTTTACCAGGCAAAATATTTAATATCAGGTAAAAAAAGAGTCATTGTTGGGGTCAACCAACTTGATCCTCTGAAAAATAATTGAATTAATATTTTTTTTCTACTCTTAAAAAGAAGACTTGAAAATGTGCAGAGTACCACTTGCAGTTTTCCTTCTGGAGCTCTGTATTTATCTGAATAGTCCAAGCAATACGGTGCAGAATAGTGTCAAACTGCTTTATTAATATTGAACTGCCTTTTTTTTTTTTGGACGCAACTGAATGTTTTTTTGTAAGTGCAGAGAAATGTTTTACCAAATGCTTGAGAAATGGTTAGGTTGTACTAAATGAAGGGGAAAACCTCTTAAGATCTGGGTATTAAGTGCCTTGCTGAACGAGAAAATGCTCGTTACAAGTTTTTTTTCTCCTATTGTAATGCTCCCTGTGAATTATAATGTACTTCCTAGACATTTGCCCTTCATATCTTTTTTCAAATAGAGAGTATTGTTTTCGTCTGTTTTGAGTTGCAGCAGAGAGCATTGCAGAGTGAAAGCTGGTAGGCTAAAGGAAAATTATTTCATCTCTTTCAGCTGATTTTGTGACGCTTGCTTTATAACAAATGCTATATGATTTTCTCACAGAGTGTTCATTCTGAGATGAATAATGAACTTAAGGTTAGGCATATTCAGAATCAAATACTGCATTCATATCCCAACTTTAATATGTTTGATCAGTTTATAAATATGCAGGGCTTCATTAGAATTTGATGTGTTTGGTACATGAACTGTATAAAATATATCTTGATTTCCTTTATTGTTGGCAGAAGAAATCAATATGGAAAAATACAATAAATGCAATATTTAGTAACCTGATGGCTATGCTCTGTTCAGACCACAGTACTCTGGCAAGACATTAATAGACTAATATAGTCTATTAACACTGATAGTCTAATATAGTCCATAGTATACAAATCCTTCCAAAAAAGTTGGTATCTTTCGACCTACATACTAAAGTTGACCTCATTTCATGTCTATAATTCTGTCTGCAACTCCTGCTTGCTCAGCGTTTTAAAAAATGGTGTAGAGAGCACCTTGATTTATTTATTTACTTCCATCCTTACTTTGGATGATGGATAAGGGGGTTTTGGGGAGATCCTGGGTTTCATGGACAGTATCATTTCTCTTAACACGTTCCCAATGGGCCACTCTGCCATAGATCCCTTCAATCGTGTGTTTAGATCCAGTGAATTCAGCGGGGTGACACCGGCGCTGGAGGGAAGCGTGTGCTCCTGGTGCTGGAGTTAGGGAAATGCCTTTATCGAGTCGGGGTCAAGTATTTATAAAAGATGATTTCACCTCCTTTCAGGGATGTGAAATCTCTCCTCGTTCGCTGCCGCGGGTCCCGCTAACGGGAGTTCTGCCTCTCGATCCGTTTGCAGAACAAAGTGTTCATCTACCGGGGCAAGGAGTACGAGCGCCGCGAGGATTTCGAAGCCAGGCTCCTCACGCAGTTTCCAAACGCAGAGAAGATGAAAACGACGTCTCCCCCAGGCGAGGACATCAAAACCTCCTCCGGCCAGTGTATCCTTGCATTGCCACGCGTGGAGCCGGGCACGCGCCCGGGCTGGCTGTCCTGGCCACCGGAGCAGGGACCTCTGCCCTTCTGTCCTCAGCAGACCCACGCGTAGATCTGGTTGTTGCTGGAGTTTTCTCTGTTTCCTATTCAAACTCTCTGTTTTACGTAGTTGAAATGGTCTTTTTTTCAGTTCTTAACCTGTGAATTCAGATATTCAGTGCTTTACTGTAAAGCCCAAGCTTGATTTACCGCCTAAATTTCACAAGCCAGTGTCAGAACAAATTGTCAGGTGAGTTTTGGTGTGTTTTGACGGTTTTATCAGTCTGCCCTCTAACACTTAAATTAGTTCTTTATATGACAAATGCTACATAGAGTGAGTAGTTCTTCCAGTCTGTCCATAAGCAATAAATGAAAATCATGTGTATAAGTGACAGGAAAACTTGGTGAGGAGGGGTGCATCAGGGCTTGATTCCTTGGCATGGCATCCCAGGTTAGTAGTTGCTATTGGTTAATAAATAATAAAAACTGTACCTTGGATAGCCCTCAAATGACCCGTGCAAGTGTGTGGAGCTGGTTGGTCAATGAGATCGGTCACTTTGGGAGCTTAAATTTAATTAAATTCTTAATGAGATTCTTAAATTCTGAAGCGCAATAAGGTTTATTTTCAGATAATTTGGAAAAACTTGTGTTGTTACAGATAGTTGCCTGTTCTCTTGTTTACTTGGCTTGTGCTTTGGGGTCCTCTGTACATCTGCAGCCAAAGAACGTAGTCGTTGCACTGATGTTTTGCAGGTGTCCTTGCTGTTAGTAGGAGTCTTAAGTAACCCACTGAAAACACCCATCTCACAAAGATTTTATACTTTTTATACTTGCATAATATATTACACTTGCATTTTTTTTTTGCTAGAACTCTAGAAGTAGAGTTAAGTAACAATTGCTAAACTAGAAATATTTGATACTGATTATGCTATTCCTGGGGTCTTCTTTTTTCCAGTTTCTATAGAGTCAATGAAGTCCAACGGTTTGAGTATTCACGCCCTGTTCGAAAAGGAGAGAAAAACCCAGATAATGAATTTGCGGTAAAAAAAAATCATAATAATCATACTTTGGGGTTTTGTTTATTCCCCTCCATTCTGAGAATCTGAACCATTCTCTGTTTTGGTTATTTAAAAGTAAATTCTAGGTGTAAAGTGACTGTACTTGCTAGAAGCTCAACAAAAAAGCAATTTATTGTGTTCTATTTTATGCCAGTGGAAAAAAAATGCACAAATATTTATTTAGTTTGTTAAAAACTATCTTGATAAAGAAGTTCAAAACTGTTAGGATTTAAAATATAGATGTTCCTGCTGGAACCTTTTTTTTTAACCTCTCTTGCCATGAAGTTTCCAGTTAGGAATCTTCTGAAACTGATATTTTTCCAGCAATCCTCTTTTCTTTTTTTCTCTCCATATGTTTCATCTAATGGTCAATAAAACTCATTTGAGCACAGGTTGTATTCCTCAAAACGTTTAGAACAGGTTGCATAAAACCGATTACCTTTTTTTATAGAGATCATTTTATTCACGGTGCTTCTAGTAGGAGCAGTTAGTAGTAACATAGTAGTAATTAAAATGCTAAATTCATTCATCATTTCTTAAGCAAAGAATTTAGTTTTCTGTGTAGGAGTGGGACCTAGTCATCCATGTTAAATAACATTAAATTATCGTCAATCCTTAAATTAAAAACAGCAAAAGGATGTGAAAATAAAGCCCTTGAGGTTCACAGCAGTTTGCGTTGCTGAAGCACCAGGTAGTTCAGGTTGGGGCCTCGAGGTCACCAGGGGAGCTCAGGAGGGTCTGGTCCCCCCAGCTCCTCAGGGCTTTTATGCAGTTGTGTCTTGAAACCTCCACGGATGGAGGTGGTGCAGCCTTCCCAGGATCCTGTCCCACTGCTCCGCTGCCTTCATGAGAAAAAAAGCTTCTTTTCCCTATATCAAGTCAAGATATCGTGGTTTGATGGAAGATAGTCCTTAAAAGCCCTGGTAGCTAAACTAAAAGAAAAGCCTGTGCAGTAGGTGGACAGGTGGATCTTCTACATAATGTTCTCCTTTGGTTAGAAGAGAGCAACATTTCTCTACTAACTGATAGAGCAATGTCAAGGTGCCACCTCGGATTGACACCAGTGCTGTGCAAGTGTCTCCAAACCCACATTCCTTCTCTGTGCCTGCTGTGCTGCGGCTCCTTTGATGATGATGATGGTTTAAGTCTGTGCTTAAGACAAAAGGTGTCCATCCAGTAACGAGAGGTTTGTGTCACATTTGCAGAATATGTGGATCGAGAGAACCATCTACGTGACGGCCTACAAGCTGCCCGGGATTCTGAGGTGGTTTGAAGTGAAATCGGTTTTCATGGTAAGATCAATTTTGCTTTATTGAAATTGCACAAAGCAGCGTGTTTTTTGCACAGGTAGCAAGCATGTATTCCTGCACAACTGGGCTTGAGTGAACAAGCAATCAATGCAGCTGCGTTTGACACAGGGACACAGAGTCACCTCGCCGGCGCGCTGCAGGCTCAGGTGGGCTGCGGGTGGCTGCAGAAATGCCCCTTCCCTCCCCGTGCAAGGAACAGAGTGGGCCCGGGTGTCCGAGCTGCAGGGCCAGGTCAGAACAGGCTGCAAATAGTTTTAGAAAGAACTTCTGGCTTTGGGCAAGTGAGCCCCGAGAGCCAGTGGTGCTGCCCATAAGCCTGAAATGAAGGAGAACCCATGACCCTGTTACATAAAAGCCAACCTGCATCTTGGAAAAGAGAATTTAGATACTTCAATGGCAATTTATGCAAAATATACCACAGACCTGCTGCACTCTACGTGTCTGCGTTTCTTCATAAACCTATCATTCATGATTAAACATTAAGCACGTTTATGTTGATTTTATTTTCCATAGTTAGCTAAAATACACCCTAGCTGCCTGGCTAACTCAAAATATGCATTTCTCTGGTTGCACAACTTACACTGTTTAGATAAGACATGTCCATTAAATGTCTTAACGATTAAATTATTCTTACGCAGCTATAATTTTTAAGTAGCAGTAAAAGCATTGTTACTGCAGTCTTTAAATCTCCCTTGCGAGGCTTATTTTTAAAGAGAAAGAACAATTTGCATATGATTAATTAAAACCTTTTTCACTGCTCCATTGAGGTTATGTTGGACAGTTGTATTTAGATGAACAGAAGTAATGCAGAAAATTACTATGGTATCTATAGTAACAGAATATGAATGTGATATTTGACAGTAATAAGCAACTGTATAAAACACATTGAATTTTTAATGAATTTTGCATTTTCAATATAATCCTGATAGAGAAGATTGTATTTATCTTCCTGATTGCCAAAAGCGTGGCTTAGAAGGGCTGGCAAGTCTGATGAAAGTCTCTTTTCCTCACGAGTTAAGAATAGAGCCTGACAGGCTGCTTTATGCAAGCAATTTGTATACATGCACCTTTAACGCTAGGCTTGTCACAGAAATGTGCATAAATCCTGCGAGAGTGCTTTCTATAAGCTTTTTGTAAGTAAGGATTATATTAGTCACACGGTTGAAAAATGATACCAGAAGGGAACTTAATAATATGTGGGAAGACAGCAAAGGATAACTTTTGACCAAGTTCTGGCGTAGTTGCTACAAAATTGGTATTGACTTTCTTCAAGATTGCTGTCAGCTGCGGTGCTAGAAACGTGATCACGGAGTCTGCACCTCTCTCATCCTAAATTCTGAGTTTGGATACAAATATCATTGCTATTTTGCTAAACACAGTGAATTGGAATATCTGTGACCATTTTATATTTTATTGATGAAACGGCAACATCCTTAAAGGAAGAGGTTGTAGCAAATCAGTGGTAAGAGAGGCTTAATTTAATAAATGTGGAATATCTGTGACCATTTTATATTTTTTTGATGAAACTGCAACCTCTTTAAAGGAAGAGGCGAGGTTGTAGCAAATCAGTGGTAAAAGAGGCTTAATTTAATAAATTCCAATATATTATATTACATAAGCAGTAGAAATGGGCATCATTTCCTCAAACGTATTTGCTTTTATTTTAATTATTTCTGAGTAATTTTAGCTGAACTTTTTCAGCTGGTTCATTATCTACGTGGAATGCGTTCATTATTCTGAATCTGATTTGCTGAAGTTTGGCCCAAACAGTTTTAGAGGAAAAAATTTGCCAAGATCAGCCCATGAATTGGAAACTGGATTTTGAATTACAGTTAGTGCGTTTAAAAAATGCACAGTTACTAAGCTATACTTTGTTTTGATGTTTAATCTTTAAAGTGTTGCAAATATATATCTGGACTATATGATTCTTTCTTTGCCATAAATAGATTGCTCAGTGCTCAGAATTAGCAAGCTCCTTGGAAGAAAGTTCATAATTGCAAGTATGGAAATTTGGAATAAATAGCTTTCAACAGGGTCCAAGGCACAGCTTATAGGAGGCTGGAAACTACAACCCTCCATCTGCTTGGAAAAAAATGGGCATGGGATTGTCCGAGCGCTGGAAGAAAGGCGAGCGAGAAAGCGAGCCGTGATTGCCGACATAGAAAACTCACAAAGACGCCTGTCAGCTCAATGAGTGCTAATTTCTATAGATAGTCAAGAGCTTTAAAAGCAATGGTTCATCAACAAATTATTGGCTAGCTATAAGCCCGTTAATAAAAGTGACGAGAGCGCTAAATTTAGCGTGGGATGTTCCCGACACAGCGCGAGCCGTTCGTGACGCTGCCGTGCTGAACAGGGCCGTATTGACGGTGCAGGCTCTGGGCCCGGGCATCTTGCAAGCGTTTGGGTAGCAGATGCAGCAGCACATGGGGCCTCTTACCTTCCCTCCTTAAAATAATTCCCTTACAACGCTAATTAAAGCATCCTTGATGTAATCAGATGGCAGGTGTAAGAGTAACAACTAAAGAGATTTGATTATAAGTGGTTCTCAGCAACATGTTAAGCAAGTGATAGGTAGGTAGAAGTGCAGCTTTGTTTATGTAGCATTTATGTAAATCAGGGTGTAATCAAATATACACTTGCTTTTTCCTCACAGGCCCCAATTAACCTTTCTTGTCTATTCTTAACACGTCATTTTTTGAAATGCAAGAAGTCTTCGACTTCGGTCTTCCAGCAAGAACTTTTGGAATTGTGAGTTGCTTCTAGTTAGCAGAGATTTTTTTAGTCTGCTCACTAAATATACCTATTTTAGTTACATTTTAAATGTTTGAACTTGTTTTTCAATATCAACAGCCACCGGTCCCAAAAACACAGTGTCTGATCATAAATAATAGTTGGAGAGCAGTCAATTAAAATCAGGTTTTATGCATTATGAAAACTATTTCACCCCCTGAAGGCGTCGGAGGATCTCTCTGCCTTGAGGTCGAGACTATCAGAGAGAAAATTTCGTTCTTCTGGTATCTCAGTTAGGGAGAAGAAAATGTGGCCTGGTGGAAGAAAGCGTGATAGTGTAGAAGCCATCTCTTCCACATATTAAACTCTATTTCCCTGGACATACACCAAAATAATCCCTGCAAAAACTCCTTCTTGATTTTTGCGCTGCTTAAGAAGACATTTTCCATCAGAAAATCCACATTAAGTTATCATTTCTTTCTTACTGTTGCATTAAGCTGGATTTTTCTTTCTACTTCTAAAATTTATCAGTTTTTAATCCGTGATGTTCTCCATAATCTTTGCAAAAAAAAGTCATGAGTCTTGTCAGAGCCTTTCTCATCTTGTGGCACTGTCATGCCTCTGAGGTCTAATCTCTGCTATAGCAGCGAAATTCATTAAACTTTCTCCAATGATATTGATAATCATGTCAGTTATCACTACATATATATATGTGTGTGTGTGTATATATATATCTGTATATATATACATACCAAACATTTAACTGCACAAAACAGCTCTTTCTACCAGTCGCTGGTTAAATATCTTTTGTTGTGAAACTTCAGAAATGTTTCGAGCCATGGTGGTTGGCTGGCAGCCAGGTCTGTTGAAGTAACCTGCCTGGTAAAATCTCTATTCCTTAATTAAAACCTCTTTTTGTTGTCATTTTAGGTTGAAATCAGTCCGCTGGAAAACGCAATAGAAACTATGCAGTTAACAAATGATAAGATCAATAATATGATTCAACAGCATCTGAATGATCCAAATCTACCTATTAACCCTCTGTCTATGCTGCTTAATGGCATTGTGGATCCTGCAGTCATGGGAGGGTTCACAAACTACGAAAAGGTAACGTCAAAGTCAACCGTCCTGTCCCACGTCCCCTCTCTGACCTTGGACTCATTAGTGCATGAGCAACATCCCCTCTCACACCTTCTCCAGGGCAAAACAGTGCCTGGGACCTGCCTTCCTCAGTGTCTTCCATGTATTTCTGATATTTCTGGATGCGTTGTTGCCTTTCCAACCTGATGGAAAAGCTGCTGGGCAGCAAGCATGTTTTAACTGCCAGCAAATTCTCATAGGCACATGGTGGATGGTTGCTCGCTGGAGTCACAAACTGAGATTGATGACAGCTTTGCTGCACGCTCTGGGTGAACTTTGGTGACCAAAGTAACTGATTGCAATTTTCTCATTTGCTTTCAAATACATGAGTTTATAAAGATTAATCAAGTAATAGAGATGACTTCTGAGATACCAGCCAGTTGCAAATCTCTCTAAGTAATCTTAATGGCTTGTTACAAATAAACTGTTAAAAGCTATATGGGATGAGATATTAACACTGGGAAGCTGTAAACACTGTATTTATTATTCATACTATGAAAATTAATCATATTAAGGTGGCACACACAGGCACCGTGTCTGAATAACGTGAATGAAGTGAGTATGTGCTGGTTTAAGCTGCTGTTGGGAGTGGGTGTTGATTCATGTTCTGAAAAAACTGCTCATTTCTCTCTTACATCTAGGCCTTTTTTACTGAAAAATATATGCATGAGCATCTGGAGGACCATGACAAGATTGAAAAACTGAAGGATCTGATAGCTTGGCAGGTAAAAATTTTTAAGTCATGTTGGTCAGGGGCCAAGTATCCTGCAAAGGCAGCGTAGTGTCACTTTTGAGAAAATTCAGACATCAAACTGTTCACCCTGTTCACTTCTTTGGCATTTAAAACTGTCTCAGAACATGAGCTAAAGTTCATCTTCTCAAATATGGCATAATTTGTCATTTGATAAACCCACAAGTAGCAAACATGATTAACCTTTTTTTTAATGCATCCTGTTGAAAAAATATCCCATGTCCCTTAAATGAGAAGATACCTTGTAATGCTGTTGCCTAGCACTACTGGCAGTTCAGTTTTGCTTTTTGGGTTTCATAAGGTTGCTTGCAGAAATACTTCTCTAAGTTTGGGGTTGAAATGCCCACAAACCTCACCTTCTCCTGCCACAGCCCAAGAGAGCTGCTTCCCATGTTCCCTTCTTTCTCCAAACAGCTATTTTCCTGTGTTGTTTATGTACCCTTATAGGACTTTTTAGCACAGAATCTTAAATGTGGGAGTTACTAAAACTAACCTACTATAGGTAGGAAATTAATCTAGCCGTTCTGAGAAATGTTATATGTATATAACTTAATATGGCATAAAAATGCTGTGAATCCATAAATGCCATAATGGGTGATGAAATTACCTGGTATTTTTATGATCTTTGGCCAAAGCAGAAGTCATTTAATTTAATGCAGGTAATATTTTCTGAACCAGGACTGGAACCCAGATTTCCAGTCCAATGCCTGAAACAAAGCAGGATCTTTTTTGTATGAAGAACTTGATTTTCATGCACTAAAGAATATTTTGCAGGACAAACCGGAAGCAATTCCAGTTTTGTCCCATAGCTGTATGCCGACCTTTTTTCAGCAGTCTCGAGATAATTTTATCATAGCTAAAAAGTGCCAGAGTGACTAGGAATGTTTTTCCTGCAGCAGAAGAAAGTACCTCATTGTCTTTTTATATTCAATTCTGCCTTTATAATAAAGGGAATAATTTACATTCTAGAGGAGTCGATTTTAGAGGTAGTAAAACCAAAGATACAACACTGAAAACAAAAAAACAAAAAATTCCTCTGAAGGCTGTAAAACGACCACTGAATAAAAAGTCTTTTGGTCTGCCAAAAATCTTTTTATTTATTTTATTTTTTATTCTGTGAGTTTTTACAGAAGATAGGATTTTAGGAGCTTTTAACTGCTATAGTGGAAAATAACTTGATCCCAGAAGACTAACTTCATGTCAACTCTCTGTCTTTGTCTCTAATAGCCATATTTTAAATGAATTACAGACACATTTTTCCTCAGAAAAGACTTTGCTGACATTTGTGTATTAAAATAAAACTACTGTTCCAGCTAATCACATTTTATTTTAATTATTCAGTGGTTTTAAGTGCACAATTTCCCATCAGTATTTTACTTCCAAACAACGGGAACTGAGAAGCAAGGAGAAAAGGGATCAAGAGAAACTATTTATTATCTGCAGTACTTTCCACTGGAAGGTCTAGCCATTTCACGGTGGAAATCAGAGCTTTGGAATTAGCGTAGTCTTTGGGTGTGCATGTTGGGTAACCTAAGACTTAAACCTCTTCCAAAAATATTTCACAGTTTTCGAGCACATATAGCATAACCCATAGGAGAGAGGGAGGCTTATTTCTAAATAAATATTGGATCATATAATGAGCAAGAGTTGTTATGGAAACTTTCCCAACTAAGTCAGCAGCTCAAATTCATCAATGACTTGACAGTGATGGAAAGTAAAAATGAGTTTTCATTTTTCAATAACAGGTACTGTGGTTCTTGGGGTTTTGTAATCACATAGAGATTTTCTTTATGCAGTATAAATCAATCTGGATATATGAAATAGTAGTCTGACAATCATGTTATCAGCTGACTATTTTTTCTACCCCTTTACCTTGTCTTTGTCTCAGTCGTCCTTTGACATTCCTGCCATGGAGGACATGCTGCTTTCATAATACCTGTGAATTTTCATTCTCCATTTCTTTCTGCCTATGATTTTTTCAGCTAAATATCATTAGTAATGTCTATTTTTGGCCAAGTTAGTGCTTTTTCACTTAGAAAAGCATGTTTCTATGCAGCTACCTAATTTCAAGCAGCTGTTTTATTCTATTGTAACGGTACCGAAGCCCACCCTGCCGTTAGCCAGTGAATTTACAGCACGCAACAAGTAGTGCATTGCACTAATGATCTTGTGCCCCTTCTACATCACTGAAAGAGCTGAAGCAGACAAAAGTTAACAGTTTTAAAAGCACATTTTGTCAAAGATTTTAGTTCAAGCTATTTAATATTTAGATACCTTTTTTATACTCTTCACATGAGCAGAAAATTAAGATCTTTTTTCAAAAACAAGGAATAACATTAAGTTGGAATATATCTTTGCGAACTGTGAGATCTCTTTTATATTTCTCCTTTAGGTTCAGCTGCTCACCGCTGTCTTTACTTTTTCATTCGCCTGTCCAAAGCTGAGGACACCCCATTTAGGGTAGTTTAAAACACCCCCACGAGCAAACGCATCCCTTGCTCCAAAGCCAAAGCAGCTGGTGGCAGAGCAACTGGTGCCTCTGCCTCCTCATTCAGCAAAGATTCATCCTGGTGGAAAATCCAGCATCCCCCTTAAGCGGATTTCCCTGTGTCCGTGTGTGCAAAGGAGCAGCAGGAAGCGTTTCCAAGTCAGTGGCAGAAGCTGAGGCCGAAGTGACAAAACAGGCTGAAAGCCCATTCTTTCCACTGCTAAATGCTTAAAATACTAGTGTTGGGTAGAGCAGGGCGAGTATTCCGACCAGGAGATCTGGCAGGAATTCTGTAGCAATGTGAAATTTAGCTGCCAGTAAAGGAATTCCCGGAGGGAGCAGCAAGCGGCCTCCTCCTCCTCCCCGCAGATGTTCTCTGCTTTCCTGCTCGCAGAGCCGGTGCCTTCTCTCGAGCTGACAAGCACCTTTACTGCTTTGCTTCCTTCACAAAGAAGCACCGACATTTCTTTTTTTTATGTCTGCAGCATTTACCTGCAGAAAAAAATATCTATATTTGCTTCATATGGCCTTGTTTTTCCACATTGGAGCTTCATATGGCCTTGTTTTTCCACATTGTTTTTCCATATTGGCTCTGTAGGAGAGGTTCATTAGGACATTTTCTCCTCGTGGAAATGATCGCAGAGCTGTCTGCTCTGTCAGCAAGTCTCTTTAATAAATGAGCCATTTGACCACTCAGCCCTTCAAAATGAGAGGGTCAGAATTTGGCCTGATATTTAGGAACATTTTCAAATTCATTTACTTAGCTGATTTTAATGTTAAATCTTTATGGAGTACAAATCCATATGGCTATAAATAAAAGTGTCTACAGTGAAAAATACTGTCATTCTTTTTTTTTTCCCCCCTAAAAAAACCTACCCAGAGAAGTAACAGCTGTGCCCTGTTAAATAGGAGCAAAACACATGGAATCATCTTGATAAGATTTCTTGAGCCTGTTCAGCCGTAATTCATCTGTGTATTTATTATCCTCCTTACTAATAAAGCTACTCATTCTGATTGCTGCTCACTCTTATTAGAAAAATCTGTTTTTAATCAGTATTATGATTTAATTATAAATTATTAAGAAGAAGCTTCTTAGCTTGATTGCTGCAGAGAATATCTGAGTTGGAATCAGAGCACTGTGTGGGCTGAAACGGACCTGGAAGAGAAAATATTTTTCCTAAGCTTGAGATAGCAAACTCTATTGGTGTGTCTGGATAGCTGTGGGAATGAAAATGTCTCTCTCAAAACATTTTAAAAGGTCAGATACACCTCCACGCTATGAACTAATTATATAATCCTGTGTTGGCATGGATATTTTGTGACAGAAGCCTTGCAGATAAATGATTACTTTCAGTTACAAAAGAGAATTCATTTAATTCTTTCTCTCCTGTTTTGTTCTCAGAGAAAATAAAATAATTTCACTGAGGGGAAGTGCAAGCTTTTATAGAGAGTGCTACACATTTTATTAATATTGCTGTGTTATATATATACATATATATATATATATATATATATATATAAATATCCAAGGATATTGCTCCTTTGCAGTTTGAGAAAAAGCATTCATTAAAGCAAACGTATCAATATTTTCTTCCCTAAGTTTTTATTCTCAGGAAGCTGGGAAAGGACTAGCATTAATAACCCAGTTTGCAAGTTATCATTCATCAGTCTGCTCCTTTAACGTATATACAGCACATATGGGGTTGGTGAATATAATATATCAGGAATGTCAGTGCTCCCAGATAAATTCAGATATGCCCCTAGTACATGATCACTGAGCAGAACGACGGAGATGTCAATTTTAAAGGACTGTGGGTAGTACAGGCAAAAGAAATTATGTGTGAAGTTCCTCAAGTACCCTTTTTCCTATGTTGTACTTTATATGTCTTTTTTTCCCCCCCCTTTTTTTTTTATTTCTGTAAAATCCTTCATTCCTCCTGCAATATATGCAGAAAACTTGCACTAATCCTTCACTTGCAAAAGACTGACACGCTAATTGTCATCCTATTCTGATTCCCAGATTCCCTTCCTGGCTGAAGGCATCCGAATCCATGGGGAGAAGGTGACGGAAGCGCTGAGGCCGTTCCATGAGCGGATGGAAGCCTGCTTCAAGCAGCTTAGGGAAAAAGTAGAAAAACAGTATGGTGTGAGAACTGTTGTAAGTTATCCACAAGCTTTATGCTTCAAAGAATACTTGGGATTATTGCTTAAATTGCTGGGCACTTTGTATTTCTCTATTATAACTCTCACTGATTAGCAGAAGCAATGTTAATGCAGGATTAATTAAGTATCCTACAGAGCACAGTGATTTTTCTTCTAATTTAGGGGTTATAGCAGCTGTGGAATTAAGTTCACTGTTGGACATGGACATTATTTGCTCAACAACCTCAAAACTTTCCAGAAACGGGTCCTAGGAGGTACTGTGGTGGCCGTGTGTTGCACCCCACACATGGTGGTTCTAGAGCTGGATGTCACCTCGGTGTTGTTTTAATTCATTTTTAGATGTCAGGGCTGCCCTGCTCTTCAGTAGTGGGCTGCTCTGGAGTGTAGCTGATATCTGATTTTCCCATATGGTGCCACCACTCAAGACTAGGGAGGCAGCAGCTAGCTGCTGCTTGATGAGATTTAGTGGTGCTGGAGTTTATGCCTCTGTCATTCAACCAAACTATTTCCAGCTTCTACCTCTGCTTCATCTTCAAGGCACAAACAAGAATTTGGTAGTGTTTCTAGTTAGGTTTTGTTCTGCGCTGCACATAGGGGAAGGAGGCCAAAAGCTCTCAGACACCTTCTTAATTACAATATAACAATGACAATATAACTGGTAATTCTATATATATAAAAAAAAAAACTCCTGAAACAGATGCTATTTTATGAATCAGTTTTTAAAAAGCCAGGAGTAGAGAAGCAACTGATATTTAAGGCTGAGTTGCTGAGCTGGTGTCCCGACTAAAGACTGCTGGGGCTGGTTTAATGCTCTCCATACTGTGGGTTAAATTGGGGCTGCTGTTAAATTGGGGCTGGGTCGTCGCTTTTGGCGGTGTAATGTATGTGTTAGTTAATTATATATTAATTAATGTATGTGTTTAGGCACTGTTCCACTTGCAGCTCAGCTTTAAAGGTTTTCTCTACACCATGAGACTTACAGACATGGGCAGTTGTGTTTTTGTCTTGCACTTGGCATCTGCAGCACAATTCCATAGAGAATCATAGAAAAAAATGGGTCCTCTTCATGCCTTTCCCTGTTTCCAATCCTTAAATCTTCCCAGGCAAGATTATGAGATGGGAGCTCCCAGCTAGGCTAGGAATCCAAGTGACTGTTCCCAAGACAGCAGAAAAGTGGAGTAAGATGACATATTCCTTACTCCTCACGTTCCTGCTTTCCCCTGGCAGCAGCCTACTTTTTATTTGGCAGTCTAGGCCTTAATAAATTAAGAAATAAGGTTGAGAAAAAGAACAAAATTGGGAAAAAAAAATAGGAAGAAAACACAAGTTCTCCAATTTCATTTCTTTCCCTTTTTTCCCTAGATAAGCAGCAGTCACTGCAATGTGCCTTTATGGCACTGTTTCTATGGGCGCATGTCCATGTCCTTACGGATGCTACACCAGAGGCATGTATGCTGGGATTTCCATAAAGGGGTTTCCTCCACCCGTAAAGGGGTTTTCAAAGCTCTCCCTGGAAAATCCCATAGGGATTTCATCTGAAGAATGGATAAATAGGGATACAGGGAAGGAGCAAGCTTCAACTTGGTGCTCAAACCTCGGGGAGACGCAGAACGTCTAGGGCTACGTAGGCAACTGGTGGGTATGGCAAAGCTCTCCAAGTCCCCAGAGCCCAGGACAACCATCCTGTTGAGCTGGCAAACCATCCCGTCAAATGTCATGACAGACTGAACCTCATCAGAGATTCGTTTTCAGTTTTTTCTGTAGCAACGATGCATTTTTGCACCAGCAACGCTAACATCCTACATGGGACTTGTCCATCTTTATAGTGTCCCTCTAAGAGTCGCCCAGCCTGCTGCCCTTTAAATACCATCTTGCCAGTGTATGTAGGGAGGTGGTGTGTCAAATAGCAATTTATTCCCAAGAAGAGGAATATTGACAATAATTGACCTTGCATTTCGCTTACTTCAATAATACACGTTGGCATCACCAGGCAGGCACTGGGCAAGGCAGGTTCAGGAGCTCTTATCTCTCTGGTTTCCCTCTAGACTTGTCAGGATTGATGGAGTTTTATCGCTTCTGTCTTCCCTGTACAGCACCAATTTGCCAGTAGTTGGCAGAGTGGAAAATCTACCTGTAATTAAGCAGCATGAGGTTCTCATTTGTTGTCTGAAGGAGCTCAATTATTTTATGCATATATCAGTTATTAATGACTAACAAAGCTTGTATAAATATTCAGGACTCTAAAATTGTCAGCACTTAAAAAACTCTTTCGTCTGTGTTTTTCTTTACCAAGATACTACTCTGCAAATTGGCTTTCTTGACATAAACATCTGGTCAGAGCATTTTTTTTTCTTTTTAAAAAGATCATTTTAAATGGGTTGTTTTAAATATACCAAACATCATTTCCATTGCAGAGATGGGTCAAAAGTTCTTTGCAAGTAGCTGCTTTTTAAATTCTGTATGTTAAAGGAAAAGAGCAGGTAAATTCCACCGCAGAAGATGAAGCGTGAGAAAAACGTTTAGAATTGCGCGTGCGGGTGTAGCTCGGGACCCGAGTGGATGCCCTTTGTGTTTTAAGCCCTCTTTGGCGCTGGTTTGGCTGTGGGTGCGGGTGGTTTCTGGTGTAACCCGGGGCAGGATGGGGGTTGCTCCGCGCTCACCGCTCTCTCCCCGCAGCCGCCCAGCCTGGACGAGGAGCGCGGCAGCCGGCCCCGCTCCATGGTGCGCTCCTTCACCATGCCCTCGTCCTCGCGGCCCCTCTCCGTGGCCTCCGTCTCCTCCGTGTCCTCGGACAGCACGCCCTCCCGGCCCGGCTCCGACGGGTAAGACACGGGGCTTCTCTTTGCAAAGCCGGGCTCAGCATGCAAGGCTGCTCCTAAGCTGCTACAGCCCTCGGTGCCGTCGCGGTATTAATCATTGCAGCCTCTATTAACTCCTCCGTGGTGGCAGCATCACGGTAAAACTCCACACATTCCAACAAAAATCCCCAGACAAACAGGAGCCAAATTAGCACCTGTTAAGCCTGGCAGATGGTCTGGTTCAGCCCTGATCCTTCGCTAAGCGCTGGCTGGAGCGCGTGTTGAGCTGCTCGCCGAGGTGCAGGTGGGTGTAGGCTGGGAGAGGGAAGGGATTAGCTGCCTGCTCAGTCGTTTCTTCTCACTGCTGCTCTCGGAAGAAAAGCTGCTTACGGCAAGGCTGTGCTCCAAGCCCTACCAAGCTATTCCGCACGGGAGCTGGGAATTGTGTGGCTGAGCCCTGGATCACAGTCGCATCCCTCAAAAGAAAGAAGCTCTTTTCGGTCTGGAGTGTCCGTTCAGCCTCAGAACTTCCTTCTCTCTCTTTTCTCCACCCCACCATTCCTGTAATGCAGAAGGGCAATATTTAACCCTGTGGCAGAGCTTTAAAAGTCTCCTGAAGGCCTGCTAGCTTAGGGAGATGTGCTGGAAATGTTCATGTCCCTTGTGCTCCTTCACGGCTTGTTATTTACTGACTGGAGAGCAAAAGCATTGAATAAAATTAAGTACAGCACCTAAGGACCAACATGATACTTACCTTGATTACAAACAATTTATATGCCCATTGGGAATGAAGTGCAAACAGAGAGCTATTCAGATCTCATTACATTACCCTCCACAGCATACACACAGTAAATCATCTTTGTAAAAACACAGGACAGCAACAATTTTATCAGGGATGACCAGGCCTCTTGACTAATTCATGCCTAATGTTGTCTTGCTTGAACTTGGGGCTATCTGCCTCCCTAGGTCAACTTTCATGCATCTCGGAAGAAAATTATTTGTGTTTCTCCC